CATGGTAAAACAAGTGATCGGCCAACTGTGTTATCCTATAAATGTAAATATACCATCAGTTCACACAATGATCGATCAGTTATCATCTCATAAGGTCGGACACAAACAAAAAACTGTTTTACCAGCATTGCAATGATTTGTCAAATCGTAGATCTAGTGAAAAGGTGATTCTCTTCATCTGACAAAATACACATACAGTCAGGGTTTGTTGGAGGTTGTTGATGAAGATTCCCTCTTGGATGAAGAAGTTTGCATGACTAAATAAAGTTGCATAGGATAATCACTGTGGAGGATTTTATTTGGAAAGCCATAAAGGGAAGTGTCCCTTGCATCCTCTTGCTGACTTGATGGGGGCTGATGCTGCTGGTCTCAGACCGGCCAGGAAGGCATCCATCTGGTGTGTGTGTGTGTATGTGTGTGTATGTGTGTGTGTGTGCGTGTGTGTGTGTCGCTCCTTGGGAAGTGCAGTCCACGGGTTGTGTTGCACTCACACAGAAAGTAACGGGGGAGCCGAGTGGAGCAGCAGCATCAGGTTCCATAGAGCAGGTATGTGATGCTCATCTTCATCAGATTCATTCTGCCTGCAAGTGTGTGTGTCTATCTGTGTCTGTGTCTGTTTATCTCTGTGTGTGTGTGTGTGTGTCTGGGCGGAAATCCTCTTCTGCTGGAGACTTTGTTTCCATGCTCCCTCCTCTTCCTCCTCCTCCTCCTCCTCCCCTGGCTGCAGCAGGTCTGGGGTGTCTCCTCGTCTAACCTGCCTCCAGCAGGTGAGAGGCCGATGCACCGGTGATCCAGGCCGGTCACAGTGCACCGGAGGAGGGGCTGAGGTCTGGGAGGAGGAGGAGGAGGCTGCTGGAGCTGTGGTTTCTAGGTCGATGATAATGATGAAGGCTGTGCAGCCGCTCATGCCGGATGGGGACCGGTTTCTTTGTGTCAAGTGTCATCATCTCAACATCACACGTAAATCCCTGTATTCACTCATCCAATCATTCTGAAGTGGAAATAGTTGAGATTGACCAGTGATTTCATGGATTTTTACACACAAATCAGTAAAGAGATGAAAATATTTAGGCAAATGTCAGGGCAGCTCATAGTAAATGTTGTGTCTGCTTCATCTATAATCAATTATTGAATATTTGCTATAATAAAATTGCAGATATTTACCGTGCTGGAGTGTTTAAACAGGCAACACAAGCTCACATATTGATTATTGACTAACTTCCACAGTGGTAACTCTTATTCGAATAATAATGATAACTTTATTATGGCCTGCAGCTGCTTCCATGCTTTATATGATGTCAATATAATGTGTTGCCTTCTAATATTTATCCTATGTGATGTGAGTAAGAGGATATCTGAGACAGTATCAGCCATCAGATCTGCTGGATGTGTGAGGGAGTCCATGCAGTAAAGTTGCCGCACCCTCATTCGTACACACCCTGCACGCACACACACACGCAAGCACGCAGGATGGAGACACACACACACACACACACATTAAGCGAATGCACTCCATCATTAGAGGAGTTGTGTGTAAAGGAAGGTAGAGACTTGTTTCTTTGTTGTTCATGAATAGTTAACCACTGACAGGAACTGTTGAAAACACAGTGTGGTTTTATTTTTGGGATTATTACAAATTTTGCATGTTTTTTTGATGCAATAAGTAGAAAAGAGTAGAGCAACACAAAGTAGTGGTTGTGATCAGGATATTTTACACCAACAAGACTAGAAGGACTCAATGTTTATCTTTGATTTTATATTTCATCATATATACAATTGTGATGACAATTTGATTTAACACATTTAAAAGGTTCCTTCACTGTGAATTTTCCTCTTAAATGTTCTGCTTTCTTGCTTAAAATTTTCAATTTTAAATATATTGGCATCAGTCAATACTATATCCATTCATTTATACGTATAGAATGTTAACTGCTTCAAAATTCACAGTGTCATCAGTCGCCAGTGGCGCAGCAAATCTACTAAACGTTTAAATGCTCTTTAACTACCAGGAAAAGGTTTCTTAATCAATTCATCTGCTTTTAAGGTCTGAATGTCCAGTATAAAAATACTGAGATCACTCGTTAAATATCTAGTATAAATACATTTTCCTTCCTAATTCACTGAGTCATCAGTCAATGCAGAGCTACGAACCTGGTTTTGATATTAGAACCAAGTTGTAGAGAGCAGTTCAGCTGAAACTGTAACTTTATTGTTTCATTAGAATCATTTTATGCCTTTGCACGTAATAATATACCAATATTTGAAAGAAAGACAGGAGAGAGTGGAGATAAGCCCCAAAAAATTAAGCAAGATAAAACTAACATGAATTTTTCTACCCCAGTAATTTCTCTTACTGACCCACTGGAGTAGAGTAGAGCTATTCGGCTTGTATGTTGTGTAAGAGAATCCACCTCAGCTTACTTTATTCTTATTTTTCATCCATTGTGATTCTCTCTCTGCAGCTTCATAGTGAGTGAATTGTAAGTAGCCTAATGCTGCCTCAGTCCTTTCAGAATAATGGCCTTTCAGAGCCGTGTCTCTCAGCTTCTTTCTGTTTACCACCACATCGCGGTCCACTAGGACGCCAGGTCTCAGGCGGTGACTGACACGGCCGTTACTCTTCCAGTCTCGTAGCTGATGTCAGTCACAGGCTGACGGACTGGTCTCAGAGCAGCATCACTGACCCTTCACTCTCTTCCACAGTCTTACTACACTGTCTCAGAATGAGGTACAGTGAAATGTTCATTTTCTGTAAGTTCTTGTGGAAATGCCTCAAGTTCTTTCCAGGACCAAACAGTTTGAAAGGTTAGGATGGTAGTTAGGGGGGGTTAGGGTTGTACTTGTGTAACTTTTCTTGTGTTTTTGTGATGTGGTGGTTTTACACAATCAGATCTCAATCTTAAATCCCTGTTGTGGAATCTGTTTTTTCTCTCCGCCTCACAGAGCGATAGCCATGTCTTCCAGCTCAGCGATGGTGCGGATCCTGATAAAGGGTGGCAAGGTGGTGAACGACGACTGCACCCAGGAGGCCGACGTCTACATCGAGAACGGCATCATCCAGCAGGTGGGGAAGGAGCTGATGATCCCCGGCGGGGCCAAAGTGATAGACGCCTCTGGAAAACTGGTCCTCCCCGGTGGCATCGACACCAGCGTCCACCTGGAGGAGAACTTCATGAATGCCACCACGGCAGACGACTACTACAGCGGCACCAAGGTAAAGTCCTGCTGGAAATGCAAAGACAGAAACATGCCCTAAATGTAGAACAGAGTGAGAGCAGAATAACACTCGTATATTTACAGAGCATCGTTTTCTATCATTTTGACTTTCCTGGATATCCCTTTTATTCTGATACTGCAGAAGATCACAAACAAAAACGTTCCACTGGTGTTAATGCTTCTTGTTTTTTGCTTAAGATGTTTTGGATAACATGGATAACTTAATGTTAACTTAACTTAACGTAATGACACCATTTTCAACAGCCAAAGCATTTTCCTGCATTGTTTGTTCTGTAAAATACAAGTTTTCATAAAGCTGTAAACATAACATATGTCTGTGAAAGGCTCATATAATATATGATTATATTTATATATATATAAATGTTGGTAGTATATGGAGGACATCGCAGCTAAAACAGCAAAGAACCAGCAAGTGAAAACCACTTTGTTATGAGCATCTTTCACAACTTTCTGATATTTAATAGGCAAAGTAATGAATTGAATATTCCAGAAAACAAACACTACGTTCAAAGACTAGAAAGACTCTAACAATGATTAACTGCAGCCAAACTGTTTATTCTCTGAAAGCTTCACATGGTTGAAGAGTCTGTCAACATCCCACAGAGATGATTTGGCATTTTGTTGGTGTAGCGCTCAGCAGTCGAACAGCTGCCAGAACGTCTGGTCATTGTGGCTGCTGATGAGACCGGGAGACCCCACTCTGCTTTCTGAGCACCGTGATGACTCATCACTCTGTAGCACTTGGAGATGATGGGAGCTGAGAGATGACGCGCACTGGAATTCAGATGTTTCTGTGAGCGGACGGAGCGGTGGAGCGTGGTGACAGACACTATTCTCCACTGTTCTCCGTCCGCTCCCCCTCCCTCCCGACCCACTGCCGCGCTCCGGCATGACTCCGTCTGCATCTCCAAATGCAGATGAGAATCTGTTTCCATGGAAACCAGGGAGCTGCTGCAAAGGCTGCCGCAAAAAAGCCTTTTCACTCGCGCCATTGTGCTTGGAGACAATGGTTGTCAGACATGCCCCCCCCCCTTCGTCTTCCCACCCACTACACACTACTCCACTCTCTAGGCTCAGCTGACAGATGCTGCGTGAAGCATGCACTCGTACACAAAACACACTCTCTCTTTACTTGTACTGTAGCTTAAAACTTAAATATATGTTTTTTTAAGGGGATAAAAACACTCATTCATTTATGTGCTGTTACTTCTTTAAATGCCTCTGATTATAAGATAAGATAAGATAATACTTTATCAGTCCCACATTAGGGAAATTTGCAATTTATACTGTGAGGGGCAGTCAGTCCAGTCTTTCCGTACCTGTGTAAGGATTCATATTCCCTCAACAGTCATCTGCAAATAACCATAAAGATAAAGAACAGAGGCTTTACTTACATGCTTAGTTGATCAGTAGATTATGGTCTCTTCAGTACTTATGAACTTTAAAGATCAATATCTTCTGCTTGAGTGTCACGTAATGCTTCCTTTTATTGTTAATTTAAAGGTCTGCTTCTCATTTAACCTCAGATCATTATAGTGTTACATTACAATGGGTCAAATCATTAGTTATTACATCTATCGGTGAGAAGCAGAAGCAAAACAACTCAATTACCTATGCATATGACATTCTACATGATTGCTATTCAACTGAGTGCTATTCTGTGTTTTTCTTTTCCCAGGCTGCTCTTGCCGGTGGCACGACAATGGTGATTGGTCACGTTCTGCCAGAAAAGAATGAGTCTTTGCTGGAAGCCTACGAGAATTGCCGCAGCTTGGCCGACTCCAAAACCTGCTGTGACTACGCTCTGCACGTGGGAGTCACTTGGTGGGGCCCAAAGGTACAGTGACACTGTGCTTCCCAGCATCCTGCTTGAAAGTGAATGGCTTTTTCCTTTGCCCGTGTCCCTTCCTTCATAAAATTAATTTAGCACTTATGCATAAAGCTGAATGAAAACATGTAACTCCTTTGTGGATGAAACGTCCAGCATGGACACAAACGTGTGGTCATTCATTCTGTACATTCTGTACTGAGATGCTCATTTATCTCCTCCTGCAGGTACAAGCTGAGATGGAGAAGCTGGTGAGAGAGAAAGGGGTGAACTCCTTTCAGATGTTCATGGCCTATAAGGACATGTTCATGCTGAGAGACAGCGAGCTCTTCCAGGCCCTGCAGCACTGCAAGGACATCGGAGCGATCGCCAGAGTCCATGCTGAGAACGGGGAACTGGTGGCAGAGGTGAGGGAGAATCCTTTCAGTGTGTATATATTTACAGATTGATTGATGATAGAATATTGACTTATTATGATATGATATGCTTTTATATGTTATTAATGTGTGGCATTCTCTTTCCTCTTATCAGGGTGCAAAGGAAGCACTGGACCTGGGTATCAGTGGCCCTGAGGGGATTGAAATTAGCAGACCTGAAGAGGTACGATAGTCAGGTTTAATCAGATCTTCCCTCTAATTATTGTCTGTCATTTAAATTACTTTCTTTACAGCCAGACTCTTGTTTTAATAATAATACTGTTTCTGTCTATATCGTTCCACCTCTGGAACACTTAGATGATTCCTCACAGATTTCTGTTTCTCTACAGTTGGAAGCAGAGGCGACCCACAGGGCAATCACCATCGCCAACAGGGTGAGTGAGAGGTCGCTGGTACTCATAAATATAATATATTAAATGAATATAATATATATACCTAATGTAAACATATGGTACTGTATACTGTAGACCCGGTTATGGTATTGTTGTTCCAGACTGAAATAATGTAAGAAATATTAAATGGATTATAATAACTTCTATAAAAAGTCCCCAGAGGATGAATCATACTGACTGTGATGATTCCCCTGAGTCTCTAACACCACCAGCAGGTCAAGGCGTTCACTTACCCTCTGAAATATTACAAAATCTACTGGATCTTCTAAAGCGAACCAGCATAACTACAAGATCAACTAGATTAAATGCCACAGAATTCTTTGAAGACATTCATGGTCCTCAGAGGTTGTCTTCTTCTGACATTGATAATGCCCGACTTTCTCCTTAGCACCACCAAGAGGTTCTTATTTGTGCTTCTGAATCAACCATTTTTCAACAATTGGATGGAAACATGAAATTCGGCTGAGACATTCATGTTCCCCACAGGATAAATTCTTGTAACTTTGCCCTTTTACGTTTAATGTCGCTTGTTTTTGGGTAGAATTTGTCTCATACTTTACTATGACTATTTACTAACATGATACCTGCTAAACATCAGCATGTTAATATTGTGAACATTTTAGCATGTTGACAGAAGCATTTAGCTTAAATCCATTTCATACCTCTTGATTGTGGGTTGTTTTCCGTAGGCCCACTGCCCGATCTACCTTGTGAATGTGTCCAGCATGTCTGCAGGAGATGTGGTTGCCACAGCCAAGATGCAAGGTGAGGCTTAGTTTCTTTTTACATCTGGTGTTACTGTTTTAAAAGATGAGTAAAGTTTATATATATCTACATTCTACTAAATTTAGAAAATCACATTTTAGCATGAAATCTTATTTAATCTTTAACCCATTTTCTCTCTGAGATTTAATCCAGTGTATGTGTATATTGTAGGTAAGGTGGTCCATGGGGAAACAACCACGGCCCACACTGTGCTGAACGGTATGCAGTACTATCATCAGGACTGGGCCCACGCTGCTGCCCATGTTACCGTGCCTCCTCTCCGCCTGGACCCCTGTACCCCCAATTTCCTAATGAGCCTGCTGGGAAAGTAAGTCTATAAAATGTCACATTCCACTTTTCCAACTGCTTTAAAATCTAAGCATGACCTTTCTCTTCTCCTCTGTTCTGCCTGCAGTGACACTCTGAATGTTGTGGGGTCCGATCATCGTCCATTCACCATCAAACAGAGAGCCATGGGTAAGGACGATTTCACAAAGATCCCCCACGGGCTCCCTGGCATACAGGACCGCATGAGCGTCATCTGGGAGAAAGGAGTGGTATGTGTAGCTCTTTTGTTCCCAGAGAACTTCCACGAACAGGACATCTGTTTTGGCTTTGAGGTTATCGATTTGAAAAAAACAAAAAACAAAGACAGAAGAGGCACGAAAGACTCCTGCTTTCAGTGCATCAGTTAGATTTGCAGATTGCAGATTTACGTTTTTGTGTTTGTTGTAATTCATAGATCGGGGGTAAGATGGATGAGAATCGCTTTGTAGCAGTCACAAGCTCAAACGCAGCCAAGATCTACAACCTCTATCCCAGGAAAGGCAGGATCATCCCAGGAGCAGATGCTGATGTGGTGGTCTGGGACCCCGAGGGATCAAAGTATGAAACCGGATCCATCCATTCATCGACCAGTCTGTCTCACTCCAGCTCTCATCTCATGTCTCACAGGCTGGTTAGCTTTTTGTCGAGCTAAACTGGGTCACGTCTCTCTATCTTTGCCTGCAGGACCATTTCTGTGGACAACCAGGTCCAGGGAGGAGATATGAACCTGTATGAGGGCCTCCGTTGTCACGGTGTTCCCCTGGTTACCATCAGCCGTGGGCGACTGGTCTATGAAAATGGCATGTTCACATGTGCTGAAGGCTCTGGAAAGTTTTGCCCCCTGAGAACCTTCCCGGATTATCTTTACAAGAAGATGGTTCAGAGGGAAAAGGTATCGGACAGAATTTGTTAAAACCACAGTGTGCAATGTTACGACACAATCAGGAATTAAAGCACCAAACATGTCATTGAAACATCATTTCGATTTCACAGGGAAGCTTTTGTACCACAGAGAAGACAGTCACCACTTCTTTACTGCTTATTAGTGATATTTACTCGTGCACATTTGTAGTTTGAACGTGTTCGCTATCCTCTTCCTTCATGTGTGTCTGTGTATGTGTGATGTCACCCACCAGTGCCAGGCGGTGAAAGCTGTGGAGCGGGAGCCGTACACAGGGGACGTTGTTGCGGTGGCCAACTCAGGAAAGAGGGACTTTGGGGCATCAGATGTGGACACTCCGACGCGCCCCTGCACCAGGCACGGGGGCTTGAGGGACCTCCACGAGTCCAGCTTCAGCCTGTCTGGTGAGGACCAACACAAGGCGTGTCGTACATACGGATCAGATATGTCAGATATATGAGGGAAAGTACTTTTTCAGACTGGTGCCCATTTATAAAAAGTATGAAAACAATAGTGGGGCAACCTGGTTTGCTGCTGCTGTTCTGGCCTTCACAAAATCTGAGGACTGGCCTGATGAGGGAGCTATAGTTAAAGTAACCTGGACAGTTACAGTGCATCTTGTTGGTCTGAGGGACTCAAATGAATTACACATCTGTCATAATAAAAGATATTATAGATTGAGTTGCCAAGGTATAAAAAGTTTACACGCTTCTCTTTTCCATTATTTTACATAGATAAATAGAGTATAAGAGATCCATAGTTGATGCCTTAAAGCCTAGAAGCACCACGTCACACTCCCCAGTATACCTTTAGATCAATGAGGAACAGATGCAGAGTTTTTTTTGACACCAAGTTTACTTCATCCTGGTTCCTGGGGATTCAACTTGCCTAAAAAGATAACATAGATTTCTCTGTTCAAGAAAAAGCATCATTCAGACACTGGTTTGTCAGATTTTATGCCAATGGAAATCGTACATTTACATTATAAATGTTACGAGCAGCGTTCTAAATGGAATGAAAGGAATTGTTTTGATCTGTTGAAGTATGTTGCAATCCTTCAATCTGACTAGAACTGCTTTGGACTGATTATAAGCCGTCTGGAGAAGCCTGTACAACACCACAAGAAAATATGATTGAGCTGCTCTTAAGTACTACTTTGAAAAAACTATAGTTCCTTGTGTTTCACTGCTAAACCCAAGTGACCCCCCCCCCTTATGTTTCAGGTGCCCAGGTCGATGACAACATTCCAAAGAGGTCCTCGGCCAGGATCCTCGCTCCCCCTGGAGGCAGGTCCAGCGGGATCTGGTGAGTAATCAGGAGGACGTCACATGAAGCGGAAGAACGATACCTGAGGGAAACATTTGGCCAAGCAAGACGACTTTGTTTTTCTTTCTGGAAGCTTAGTGTATTTGTGGGGTAATGGAGTCATGTTTTCATGAGTTATTTAGGACTGTAAAACATTAAACTGTATACATTGCCGTAACAATAATGGAACATGGAGTCAACCAAGGAAAACCTTTGTTAAGCGATTACAGCTACCAAATTTCAGTCAAATGTTTCCCAAAAAATAAGCAGAAAATAAAAAAGAACATGCCAATGAATTAATGTGGCTGTTAGATGTGGTTAGAGGGGGAATACTGTAACTAACTCATAGTTTTAGGAAGGTGAGTCATGATTTTTACGATGCGACTGTGTTACCTCACTGTAAAATACGATTTTGCACTTGTATCATGTACTATTTAGATGCCTTTTTACATGATTTAATGTCACAAATGTCACAAATGTCTTTTTAACTGCGCGTCATGGTGAATGAAATGTGAAGGATTATTAAAAGGGTGTCGGCATGACATTAATATGTCAGCACATAAAAAATAAAACAATGCAATTGACCGAATAATGAAAAACAACGTAATGCAAGTTAACCTTTTACATGTGTTTGTTAATTTATTTTTTATACTGTATCATTTGAGCTTTCTCCGTTTGATGCTACTGTGTTGAATTATTTAAAAAAACACTTAGGTTCAGTAATTTATCGTCTTCAGATTAGCATTTCAGCTCATGTTTACAGACTTCTGTTCCACCCCCTACTGAATGTGAATGAACCTACGCTGTGTGCACTGTGCATGGTAGCATAGCTTGAGCTAATGTCACAGAATCCTCTTGTGGTCAAATTCATTTTCCACAGCGAGCAAAGAGTCTCACCCAAACTGCCTTTTTCTCACCTGAGAACACTGACACCCTCAAACACACCTCTGCAACCTGCCGCTACAGGTCGTGACCTCTGACATGTTGACTGCTGTCATTTGTGTTTCTTTTCTTTTTTTGATTCGTTCTGAAACTGCGGCGTTTAAAACATTCCCTCACTGACACCTCAGATGTAATGTACCACTGTGAAGCACAGAGAAGGTGAAGGGATCCTCTTTAGGATTCACGTAGAGATGTTTGTCGATGGATGCTGTTTTTTTCAGGATCGTAACTTGTTCTCAACCTCTTTGTTTTCATTGTTTGTGCTTAGTTACAGATCTTTTTTTGTGAATATTTGTCTTAGTCTCTGATTTTGTTGTTATTTTTGTCACAACTCCACAGTTAGCAGGGTTGCACACGAGATTTAGCTCAATGTTTAGACCCAGTTATGTTCCGAAGATGCGTGATACAGTAAAAGTCCCACAACGCTTTTTTATTTCACTTTTTTATTTTTAGAAGCTCCAGCAAATGTTGTGTTGTTTCCTCCTCCCTCCCAAATCTACACCGGTGCTGAACAATGTGTTGTCACATTGAATTCTGTTTATCTCTCTAGTTTTTCTTGCAGCTCTTTATCACATGATTTGAGTGCAAATAAACCACAAGGAAATCCTCAGCTGAGTCCTGTATCTGATTTCAAATTTTGCTTTTTTTATTTTGTTCTTTGCAACAAGAAAATGCTACTAATGCATCAACATATAGGAAATTAACATCTATGAATGTAAAATATATTAATATATATATATATATCTATATATCACTCACATGGGACAGAAAACTGCAGAACAAGTGAATATACTTTTGATACTTATGGTGGTATAAAATATGTTATTTATTTTGTGTTTTCATGAATGTTTTCCTTATGCACCAAGCGGAGTGGTACTATACATACTGTTGTATCATAATACAATGACAAACAGCTTTTGTTGCCCTCGCTCCTATAACTATAATGTCTATTTATGTGTAAGTCTAGTACCTATGTGTATTTGTCCAGTAGAGCTGGAGAAGAAGAACTTCTATCTAACAACTAAATCCACACCCAAAGAGAAAGCTGCCTGCTCCACCTCTTATCTTAACCACTATTGTAAATGGTGCATTAACCTCTGTGGACTGTGGAATAATCATTTGCTATCTCTGCAAGATCGTGTTGCTCGTGCACCAAGTGGAGTGGCACTATGACACACTGACAATTAAGGCCTTTTTTTTATTTTTATTTCTATATTACAAATTAAACTCTTGGTTTGTACGTGACGCCTGAGCCTGAACCCTCTAAAAGCCCTTCGTCGGTGGCGGGGCCTTAAACCCCACAGACACACACATCATGTGTCTCTGAGCTGGAACAGGCCGAAGTCCTATTTATAATGAACCTTTAGCAGCATGGAGTCGGGCGCATGCGCGGTGCGCGGCCGGATCGTTGCAGACAGGGGCGGCCCGTTACCAGGCGAGCACCGCAGCGCAGGGTCCGACACCGACGACGGCAGCGGGCACTGACAGAAGGAAACCTGCCAGCGTGATAACAACACCCGTGAAACGCAGTGAGTATGGAGGCATGAGCGCGGGGAGGTGGAGGGTGGACTCATCCCGAGCCGCGTCCTGCTGCTCCTCTTTGTTTGGTGGAGGGATGCGTGTTTGATTCCCAGGCGCTGAGCAGATCTGCCCAGAGCCGACACTCCGGAGGTGTATCCGGGGAGGCCCGCAGAGGGGGCCGCTGCAAGACCAGCGTTGCGGCTTTTCGAAACGGGCTCATTTATTGTTCTCAGCTCAGGCTTGAAATGTCAGACCCCCGCCCATTCGTCCCAGACTTTTTTTTTGTGCTGCAGTCATTATCGGAGCAAAGGCCCAGTGGATTTTTTTTTATATCCATTGGAGAATAGATTGACTTCCCTTTCCCCCTCCGCCGCCCTCGATGCTATATTAATAATAATAATAAGAATAATCTTTATTTAGAGGGATCGCACGCTTCTGCTAATGTGGCGGAACCTGCGTGCTCTGTATTGTCGCTGCCATGGTTGCAGGCTGCAGCCCCGTGGGGGAATGTGCATGGTGGAACGTCGTGCGTTCACTCAGTGTTTTCACCAGGAATCGTGCAAATCGCAGGTGAGGTGCAGCCGGTGTCATCCCTCTGAGCTGCAGACACATGGCGCTGGTGTGACCTCAAAGACGATTTAAAGTCCCCCATCTTCTTCACTGCAGGGACCTTCGAGGTGTCACAGTCCAAATGTTGTTGGACACCAGAGGAAAATCGAAGTGAGGCTTGCCTGGAGCTGTCAGATGTCTAAAGCTGCTCAGGGTTTTTCTGTTTAATCTGGGGGGTGGGGTGTGTGTGTGCTCACAACACATCTGTAGATTAAAACTAAAACCACACTGTGTTTACAGCCAGAAATCCAAGTGACACACAGGCCGATATTGCTCGGGTCTCTTTTACAGGCCCCTCAGCTGCGGTGGTTTCAGAGCCAGTCCTGGATATTTAATCTGCCTCCACCTCCCCTCTAAATGTCAACTTCAACATATACACAGATCATAAAGATCATAAGGTTTGATGCTAATGTTATAGATTGCAAATTAGAAATCCAGGATATGGCCTAATTGAAATTAGTCAGAGAAGAGAAGGTCCACAAGTGAATGAATTCTACAGCTGAAACAATGATAGTAACTATTCGGAAAGTTACTTCATTTACAAGCAGACGCCAATTATGTCAAAGTTCAAGCTTCTCAAATGTGACGATTTCCTGTTTATAATTTTCTTTATGTGACACCAACTAACTTTTGGCTTTTGAATGTCGGATCACAAGTTGGTTGAAGACGTCAACTTAAATTGTAACAAGGCTTTTTCACAATTCTTTGCCAAACAAGGGTGGTTGGGGTAACCATCATTAGTTTAAGCCCTAAATAAGTCAAGTGCAAAGTCAAAGACGTCTGATACGATGGGTAAAGGTTATGTGAAAGAATCGGTGAATGTCACTCTGCAGCTCAGAAAGATGGAGGAAACCAAGTCTTCAAACAGCCCAACTTGATCATATGAAAACATCAGTTTGTTTACTTCCATTATTGGGTAATAACTGACATTATGAAGTTGTTATGATTTTGTAGGGGAATGTATTTCTCTGGATCTAAAGTTCCACCTAATTCCACTGAAACCTTAATTTTTTACATCCTGCAAACTGACAAACTTTATTTCTCTCTTTGCTGTTTTGTCTCAGGTAGGGGATGGCAGTGAATGTGTACGCCACATCTGTGTCCATTGACAACCTCAGCCGACATGACATGCTGGCATGGGTCAACGACTCTTTGCATCTCACCTACACCAAGATCGAACAGCTCTGTTCAGGTAAAGCTGAGAGTCGGTTGTCCCTGACGTTTGTCCACAACAGGACAATGAGGCTAATTACCTCGTCTTTGTGTTTTCCAGGAGCAGCATATTGCCAGTTCATGGACATGTTGTTTCCAGGTTGCATCCTGCTGAAGAAGGTCAAATTTCAAGCCAAGCTGGAGCATGAATTTATACACAACTTCAAAGTTCTTCAGGCAGCTTTTAAACGGATGAGTGTCGACAAAGTCAGAATCCTCTCATTACCATATTATTATGTGTTTGACTCAATACTTATGATTGTATCATCTCTTACTCAAGATGCTTACGTTGCATGTTGTATCACACAGACCTATTCAAGCATTTCCCATTTCCACTCTGCAGATAATTCCCGTGGAAAAGCTTGTAAAAGGGAAGTTCCAGGACAACTTTGAATTTGTGCAATGGTTCAAGAAGTTCTTCGATGCCAACTACGACGGGAAGGAGTACGACCCTTTACTAGCCAGACAGGGTCAGGACGTGGCCCCTTCCCCCAACCCAGGTGATCACTTTATCCACAAACCAAAGAGAAACCCAGGTAAACCCGACAGTTTTGCCGTTGCTGCACGGTCTTGCTGAGCTTTGGATGGCCCGAAGGCGCTCCCTGTCCTCTTTAGGTCCATCTCACTGCCCAGCATTCACAAGCAACATGACACTGCGTAGGTATGAGCGAGTCTCTGCTGGGATGGTGGTGAATCACCTCATTGCGCAGCGGGAGGCAGCATTGGTGGGGTTGCAAAACTCACATCATGCAACTTCAGTTTGAACTTGCTCTCCTAGTTCAAATTCATAATGTACGGAAATATCAAATGCAGCAGTGTTTTCCTGTGTATCGCATTACACAGCTGCAGCTTCATCTGCCTGAAAGCTAGACTGATAAAAAACTAAGTGTGTGTCATTTTACTAACAACAACAACGTCAGCTTGAACAGCCTTGCTCTGGCTCCATGAAAGCTTTTTGCTTGGTAAAGATGGCAAAAAAAACTAATTTTATTTGTAGTGTCTCATACGCCTGCCGAGTGACTTTGCCACTGGCAAGCTGTGTGGTTGTAAATGGGCATTTATGAGAAAACTAGTCTTGCAAGATGGCATGTTTTGTCTTTGATTTGAGACTCCTCTGCTGAAGCACTTATAGAGGTTTGGCAGTTTTTATTTAAGACTTTAACTCCAAGAAACTGGATTTTCAACGGTTTCTTAAATTTTTTAATTGGCTTCTTGGAAATCTGGCAATATCAATATGTGTCTTTTATATTATTCACAAAAACAACCTATCAAAGGCACAACTTTATGCTACAAGCTGATAACATCAGCTCTCTATAATGTGCTACATCCATCGCTACAGTTGCTACGAAGCCAAAAACAATTAATGCAGCGACTCTGTTTTCATTCAAATGACGTCTATCACCATCTCTGACCAAATCCAGGACCACAGAGGACATCTCCAACAGTTCCCAAAAACATGCCAACACCACAGCGGGTCCAACACAACACTCCAGCCCTGCGGAAGAACCCGTCTTTGTCTAGAAATGGAGGCAGTGATGCGGAGATCATGGAGCTAAATCAACAGGTAGAGTTGAATGGAGGAGCTACAGTCTAAATCCTCATTTAATCACAGTAGTTTCAGGGTTCTGGTGTTTTGTACTCTGGCTCACTGTCATGTCTCACGTCTGAAAATTACTGACAACTGTCAATGAAAAGAGAAATATTGTTATCCAGTTGTTTTCCAGTTGTTGTGGGTCTTATTTTCATTGTTATACATAACATATAAATCTATTCTGAATCTTTCCAAAGCAAAGGTTATTTTACATTCAAACCACAAATTTAGTTAAGATTAAAAGAAAATATTGAGAACCCCCCCCACTATAACCCCCACTCTTTATTTAACATTTGCATGGTTTGCATGTTTCAGAACTGTTGATAAGATGAAAACACTGATGTCTGTGGCTGTGTTATCACTTTTTCTTTGGAAACTCCCACTGAAACACATTTTTCTGTTTCTTCCCTCAGTTGATGGAGATGAAGTTGACTGTAGACGGACTAGAGAAGGAGAGAGACTTCTACTTCAGCAAACTACGGGACATCGAGCTGATCTGCCAGGAGCACGAGAGCGAAAACAACCCCGTCCTCAGCAGGATAATAAACATTCTCTACGCAACAGAGGCATGTATTAATAACCAACAACAACTCTATAGACGTTTTATTCTCAGAATGAATTACTACAGAGAGGCTTAAGTGAAACTGCAACTTTGAATATCATCAGTGGTCAGGAAATATATAATATATAACGCTCAGAATCTTTCAATATTAAAGTGAAAAACAAAACCCCAAATTTAATGGGTTCTTTCTTAGCCCATGTTCCATCCTTCCACCAATTATTGTTCTGTAGTTTTTGCAAATGAAAAAACAACCCAACTAACAAACAAACAAACCGATCTTTTCTCTCAGGAAGGCTTTGCGCCTCCAGAAGACGAAGACCTCGAAGAACAAGCTCACCTGGACCAGGATGAATACTGAACCCTTCATCTCCCTCCCCTCGGACATCTCCGTTCTCCCTTTTCTTTTGTGCCCTCATTTGTTTTCTACTCTCTCTCTCTCTCTCTCTCTCTCTCTCTGCACGCTCTCTATAAATACCCCCCATCATCCCCGCTCTCCATTTTTTCTTTTCTTTCTCATCAGTCGGTTACCTCCCCCCATCTACCCTCTGGCCATCGACATACTTTGCATCATCATTTGCTGCTCACCCCTGCATCCACTTACACAGTAACAATAACAGTAATGTATGACATATCCCAGTTATTTCAGCATGAGTAACGCAGAAAATCAAGTTGACGCTGGCATGGAGGTTTCTTGGGCAAACAGTAGATTTAAGTCTGTAAATATGACTGAAAGTTTGATTTCTGAGAACAGAACAATGTCTTTGCTCATTATGGAGTTATTAGTCTTAATGCTACTACTAGAGCACTTAACAACACTGCTCCAACGTGCCATCAGGACACTCCCAGAGCTACTAAAACTGACTTTTTATTAACAATTTCTTATTTATTTAACTTATATTTCCTTACGATTAACTTTCTGTAGCAGAATCGGTGCAAAACCTACTGTATGTGAGCTGAAAGCTGAGGGCCCTGTATGTGATTTGAGTTAAGGTGTGTGTTTGAGGCTGCATCGAGCTTTTTATTTTGTTTTATGGAAGGATCATGGCATGTGGATACACTGGAGGAAATACTTTGGTGTAATGGACTCAAGGCGTATAATGATTAGTGCTCTGCAATTATTCATTTTTGATCCGCAACATATCTGAGCATGAGAATGTTAGACATTGACTGTGAATGAGTGATATTTTGTAAATGTACTTTGTGATCGATCCTGGTTAGTTGCCATTGCATCTTTCAGGCGGAGGTGGAGAGCTGCCCGCAGAACGACCACGTGGTTCTAGATCGTAGCAGAGCTGACGTTTGATTCTCGGCAGCCTGACGAAGAATTGATACAGACAGATTTTTTAACATGAAAGCTTTTATCATGTCTTTTTTTCCCGCTGATCATTTTGTGTTTCTACTTTTGATTTGCTGGTAGCCCAGGACATATGAGAAACTCAGTATTAAGAGATCTGTTTAACCAAGGAAGTCTCCCTGTCCTTCCCAAGCTCTTTTTACTTTGCACACTGGCTGTCGTCTGCTCTGGAAATCCCATTCTTGGACCATGTAAACATCCACAGAACACTCATCTTTTGACTTTCGACTAAATAAAGCGGTTGTGAAATAAATGGCTTTGTGTGATGATTGATTTCTAGTGCAATGTAAAGTCTACAATAGCTTTCAGTCAAAGTTTCACTGAACGAATGCAACAAACTATACAATTAGATAAACTTTTATTGATATAATTATACATTATACAAATTTTAAGCTTGGTAATACGAATAAATATAAACATCTAGACACAATTTAAAAATAATGAAACATGATGTGACAAGAACTCTGAACGCTCACAGTAACGGAACCAGCCGGGGGATTAGCTCAGATGGTAGAGCGCTCGCTCATGCGAGGAAAGAGTCTGATCTTCTCGCTCTCGCGCACAAGCGGAAAACACAGGGAAACATAGAATAAAGAAGCAACGGTGACATTTTTCCCTCCAACTATATTCAGGCGACAATCCTGGGCTTTGTGGAAGATTTTGAGTTGTATGTTAATCGAGTCACCCGCCGTGAGCTGGAGTCGAACATCGGACCTGCCGGACGGACCTGAAGGAAGTTACAGAGTGCAGTTTCTGACTAGTGACTAGTAATGTTTATCTCTATGGTTATAAATGTCATAATAATAAAGTGAGCCCTCAAATACTGATGCCTTTGCAAAGTTTGTTTCAGTTCATATAATGATAATAACAATAAAATGTGCCTTCAAAGACTATGGGACAATATGGACCTTTTTTGATGATGCACACACTGAGTCTTGGCTATGCACTAAATATAGTGCATAGCCAAGGCTGTTCTCTAGGAGCCATCTAAATCTCCGGCCCTGGTACTTGCCAAACTGAAGCTTGCAGTGAGCCAGTATTAAAAACATGTCAGTTGGGTCTCCACCATGACCCCTGACAAAAGAACTGGCCTCTGCCAGCACCTCCTCTCTGGGTTTGGCCCTCCCAGACTCAACACCTRCARWGTTCTTCGCCTCCTCCGACGGCGCCATGACCAGTCTGGTTGACCTGGCTGAGTCACGGCGAAAAACTGGATAGGCGTACATTTTTTCTGAATGAAAATGAGAAAAAGACGGTCAATACTTATACGTCTTTCCTGGCACTGCTCCAGCTGTAGTTATCATAATTCACACGTAATTATCGCGTATCAGGCGATATTTGTAACTTTTTATATTTTACAGATCTTACTGTTTACTTTCAATAACAGAGTAAAACACGACTCACCTTCAACACGGCGGAAGTCGAAGTGAGCGGGAGAACAGGCAGCGATAACTTAGCCCACAGAGGGAGGAACGTGATTGGTCAAAAGTAAGCCCCAGGGGAGGCACGTGATTGGTCAAAAGTAAGCCCCAGGGAGGAACGTGATTGGCTGCTGTGGGCTTACTTTGGGTTTACTTTGGCGGAATAGACGGGATACAAGAACATGCGAGAGGTAGCGGGATCGATGCCCGCATCCTCCTTATCTTTCTTTTTCTTTTCTTTTTTTTCTTTTCTCCCATCTAACACACAGACTGTGTTAACTTAAGTTAAGGCTTAAAAACCATTTATTAGCAGTTTTATACCGTCAAAGTACAATTATTAACTGAATGAGATACTGCCTGGGGGCGGGGCGCAGCAGAGCAGGGAAGCTAACAACAACAACAACAACAACAACAACAACAACAAGCATCAGAAGCTCATTCTTGTTCTGTGGAGGAGGATACTGCAGTATTACTCAGAAAGTACACAGTAAAAGTACTTGGAAAAAAAACAGCTCCTCTAAACCTGAGCCGCGTCACAGCGATTACCGTAAACGTGTTATCAATTGCGCACTCTATAAAGCCAGGCGGCTGGTTTGACTGTCTCTATAGTTTGAGCTCAGACTCTCAACCATGGCTCCCCTGCTCCGCTGCTGCCCGCCCTCAGTCAGTATCTCACAACTACGACATGCTAACTCCTGGTTAGCATGTAACGAGTTTCTATCAGCACCGATTCTCTAGTAGGTGCCATCAGGGGGATTAGCTCAGATGGTAGAGCGCTCGCTTAGCATGCGAGAGGTAGCGGGATCGATGCCCGCATCCTCCAAACTTTTCTTTTCTTTCTTTTGTTCTGCTGATCTAAGTTGAGACTTTAAAAAGATGTACTCCATATCTATGTTTTCACTTCAGTGCATTAGCGTACACGCAACTTTTTGGAAATGCCCTCCACTTACACCAGTTTCCTCAGCACTGTAGCAACAAACAGCAACATTAACTATATTTAATGGGGGTAAAGCCAAACAATACATTTTTATGTATTTTATGTATTTTACTCACTTGGCGCCGTACTAACGGGAGCCTGTCGTAGCAGCTCCGTGTATTACTGTCGGTCTTTTGTGTTTTTATTACGTTTGCTGTTTGTTTT